GTCTCTACTGAAAAATACAAAAAACTAGCCTGGCGAGGTGGCGGGCGCCTGTAGTCCCAGCTACTCAGGAGGCTGAGGCAGGAGAATGGCGGGAACCCAGGAGGCGGAGCTTGCAGTGAGCCGAGATCGCGCCACTGCACTCCAGCCTGGGCGACAGAGCGAGACTCCGTCTCAGAAAAAAAAAAAAAAAAAGGAAATAGACAGCAAAAGAAATGATGACATTTTGGGTAGACATAAAAGACATTTTTGTTCTCTTAAGTTCTTTAAAGTACGTAAGAATATAGAAAGTAAATGTACCCTAGAACTTAAAGTATAATAATAATAATAATAAAAAGAAGTAAAAAAAAAAAGAAAGTAAATGTTAAAACACCACTAATAGTATGTAGATTATATGTTTCAATGTATGTAGTTTATATGTTATAAATATAACCATAACACAAAAAGAAGGTAAAGAGACCTATACACACTAATCGGTAAAACATTAACTCCGGACTATAAATGGTCAGGCATGCATATTATTAACCCTACTAGTAACCCAGTAGGGATCCCCAGAGTAACTACTAGAAAGTAAATAAAAAGATACAGCCAAAAGGCTACAAATCTTTTTTAGCTTTATAGATATAGAAAAAGCAAGTGACAACATTCAACATCCAATCTCAGCAATTTGAACTTCCTAAACCTGGTAAAAGACATCCATGGAAAACCTAAACTAGCATCATACTTAATGGTGAAGGCCAAACTGTATTCCCTTAATATAAGGGACAAGCTGAGGATGTCTGTTCTCACCACTCCTACTCAACATCGTCCTGGAGGCCCGAGCTGGGGCAATGAAATAAGAAAAAGAAGGAAAAGGCATACAGATGAGAAAGAAGTAAAACTCTGTTTGCAAACACCATGACTGTCTGCATAGAAAATCCTAAAGAATACACTAAAAAAGTTCCTGGAACTAATACGTGTATTTTTCAAGGCTTGAGGGCATAAGATCAATATATAAAGTCAGCTGTATTTCTACATCAGCAATCAACAACTGGAAATGAACACCACTTACAATAGCATGCAAAATTATGAAATAGGTATAAATCTAAAAAAATTTGTGCAGAACCTGTATGCTACACTGTTTTCATGGACTAGAAGGTTCAGTATTGGTGGGTTGTTCTTTTTACCTTTGACTGATCTTAAATTATTATTATGAGTTTTTTTTGTTTGTTTTTTTTGAGACAGAGTCTCGCTGTGTCACCAGGCTGGAGTGCAGTGGTGCGATCTCAGCTCACTGCAACCCCCATCTCTCAGGTTCAAGTGATTCTCCTGCCTCAGATGCCCGAGTAGCTGGGACTACAGGCGCCCCCGCCAACACTCCTGGCTAAGTTTTTGTATTTTTAGTAGAGACAGGGTTTCACCATGTTGGCCAGGATGGTCTTGATCTCTTGACCTTGTGATCCACCTGCCTTGGCCTCCCAAAGTGCTGGGATTACAGGCGTGAGACACTGCGCCTGGCTGATCTTAAATTATTAATATTGTCAAAATGTCAATTCTCCCCCAAAACTGACCTATAGATGTAATACAATCCCAATCAGAATCTCAGCAGGATTTGTTCCAGATATCAACAAGTCAATTCAAAAATGCATACATAGGCCAGGCACGGTAGCTTACGCCTGAAATGCTAGCACTTTGGGCGGCTGAAGCAGGAGGATCACCTGAGGTCAGGAGTTCAAGACCAGCTTGGCCAATACAGTGAAACCCCATCTCTACTAAAAATACAAAATTGGGCCTGGGGGCGGTGGCTCACGTCTGTAACCCCAGCACTTTGGGAGGCCTAGGCGGGCAGATCACAAGGTCAGGAGATCGAGACCATCCTGGCTAACATGGTGTAACCCC